ACAGCACTCCAAGAAAAACACCTGCTACCTACAGTAACATGTGGGGCTGGTTCCATCATGCTGTGGGGCTGTGTGGCCAGTACAGGAACTGGGAATCTTGTTAAAGTTGAGGGATGCATGGATTCCAACCAATATCAGCAGATTCTGGAGACCRRWGTCCAGGAATCAGTGACAAAGCTGAAGCTGCTGAAGCCGGGGCTGCATCTTCCAACAAGACAACCACCCTAAACACTGCTCAAAATCTACTGAGGCCTTCATGTAGAGGAACAAGTACAACCTTCTGGAATGGCCATCTCAGTCCCCAGACCTGAATAGTATTGAAAATCTGTGGTGTCACTTAAAGGGAGCTGTCTGTGCTTGGAAACCATCAAACCTGAATGAACTAGAGATGTTTTGTAAAGAAGAATGGTCTAAAATACCTTCAACCTCAATCCAGACTCTCATTAGAAGCTGTAGGAAGCATTTAAAGGCTGTTAATTCTGTGAAAGGAGGACCTACTAAATATTGAGGAAAGGATTTTTTTTGGTGCCCAAATTTATGCACCTGCCTAATTTTGTTTCAACAATTATTGCACACTTTCTGTAAATCATATAAACTTCATTTCACTTCTCAAATATCACTGTGTTTGTCCTCTATATGACGTATTTCACAATTACAAATCCTATTTTTATTTTGCAAAAAAGAGCTGTAAGAATTATTAACAGAAAGTGCTATAGTCATCCAAAAATACATGTTTTCCCAGTTAGGGGAATGGAGATTTTTTATAAAATCTCCTTTCAGAACCAGTCTAAAATTGTGTTTTTCTGTAATTCAAGGAACAGGTTTGTGGAATAGTCTTGCTACCATTAAAAAAAAAAAAAAACGTCTAATACAATGTATGTTTAAACAGATGATTAAGTTGAAACTAACAGGAAAATGTATCATTTGTAGTATTTAGTGGAAATATATATGATGGAAAACGGATGTATTTTTTTTTTGTAAATTTATTTGTTGAAGTTATTTTTTGAAAATAAGGGGCAGATGTAAGATTTTATTCATTCTGCACCGTTTCTTTCAGGACAGGATTTACAATTTTAGTTTTCTGTTTATGGATTTTGTTTTTATGAATGAAATAAATTAATAAAATAAAAAATAAAGCTTTTCCCCATTTTGCATACAGGCAAATCTCACAGATTTTTTTCAAAAACTCGAATTTCAAATTTGATTTATATCCCAGAGCCTGTAGGATGTAAAAACAAAAAAAAAAACAAGAAATAGAATTAAACAACTCCCAAACCGCTCCTCCGCTAGAAAAATGTTCTCTGCCTCTCCATATCCTCCTCTCCCTGCTCCTCTGCGCCGCAGGTGCCGTTATCTTCGCCCAATCTTTCATTCCTCACAGCCGGCAGTCCACCTAAACACACACACACACACACACACACACACACACACACTGGATCACGAAAGTAATACGGATTTTTTGTGGAAGTTTGATTTTTGAGGGTCATGATGCAGGGTAACACACAAAGGGGTTGGCGTGTATGAACATGTTTAAATAATGTGCAGCTTGATTTCTCTAGAATAGTTAGTTTTCATCATCATCATCATCATCCTGGCCTGGCCCTTGCCTTCCTACGCAGCTCCGCTCAGTTCTAGTTTCCCTTCACTGCTCCTTCTGGGACTTCTCCCATTGAAAAAGATTTCGCTGGCAGATTTTTAGCCGGGCCAATCAGAGAACAGAACGTCAATTTTCTGCGCAGTGTCTGCTTGTAGTTTATTTTACCTGGGCCAATCAGAGAACAGAACGTCAATTTTCTGCGCAGTGTCTGCTTGTAGTTTATTTTACCTGGGCCAATGAGAGAACAGAAGGAGGAGTTTCGAATGATGATTTTCTGCACAGTGTCTGCTAGTTATTTTAACATACGGCAGTGGAGGAAGTGAATGAAGCCAGTCTGTGTTGATGAGGCTTCCAAGTTAAATTAAATATGTCTGACAAAGCAGCAGCTCTCATTTACAGCCGTCTTGTTCAGCTCGGTATATTTCTCCTCTCAGTAGGGTTGTTTACAGCACACGCAATTTATGGTTAGCTTCTTAGCTTAGCCTCCGCCACAGCGACAACACACACATGCTTCAGCAGAGGCCACGCCTCCTGCAAGAATCGCTTCTCTATGCATCAAGTCCAGACTCTTGTACGAAGCAAAGTGAAGGACAGGGTCTGGTTTAAACCAGGCCATCATCAACCCATCTGATGAGCACTGGAGCTGCATGTGAGCTCGCCTGATCTGAGGCTAATATCCAGGTCTAACCACATTGATAAGGACTTACTTATAATCTGCTCCAGCTCTGCCCAGCTTCTTCTAAAAACATGTTCATATATCATAAAGACAGAGGCGGCTGCTAGCGTGGGTATGATGTGCGAGGTAGACGTCTAAATAACGAGAGCAGTTTTAGAAGCTGTGCTCAGAACAATACATCAGGTGTTTCAAAACATGATCATGACTGTTTCACACATAAAGCAGCTTTTCCACATCATCAGTGACCTGTGGTCAGTGTCTCTTGGTTTAAGGAGTGACCTCTGTCACTCCTTGAACCAAAGCCATGTTCTTTATTTAGTCTTGGCTCTGCAGTAAAAACCATCTCACTAAATTAACTTCTGTTTCATGTTTCCAAATGTTAAAGAGCAGTGTGAACACTCTGTTTCAGGTTTTAATGAGGGACATCACCACACCTGTTCCCTCAGAGGAGATGAAGAACCTCCTTCAGAAGTGTCTGGAAAAGGCCGCTCAGATCAACTACAGTCAACTGCTGGACTACGCCCAGATCAAAGGTGACAGAAGCTCCTTCTGTAGTTTAAAGTACCTGTGACGTCAATTGTTTGTAATAAATATGAAGGCATTTTTGGAAGGATAACATTAACATATTGCCCAAATAAACTATGCCGAGATGAAAAGTTGAGATATTCTCATGAAGTGACCGGAAGTGATGTCAAAGAGGAATGTCTGCATGTGAACAGAGCACTGCTCCAATAACTAACAACACAGACTGTAGAGAAGAATCCGCTTCTTTAGATTATTATGAGTTACAATCAGAGAGATGAAGAAGAGTCAGAGTTACAATAATATTTCAATAAAGACTCCCCCTTTGATGTCACTTCCTCTTTCACCGTGGCTGAGCCACTTTCAAATTAAATCTGGCAGTTTTGTGACAAAATGGATATAATCATGTTTTATGTCAAGTTTCCTAAATATCAAGATGTTTGTTATATACTCACTATTTTTATTAGATTAATTTTGTTGTTGGAACCTTTCAGTGGACCCTGAAGAAGCTGCAGACAAACAGCTGGAGGACATGTTGATGTTGGGTGAACTCTGCATTGAAGTCCTGCAGCAGAATGATGAGCATCATTCGGAGGTATTCTTTTTATTCTTCTTCATCCAGTTATGGAGGCTGTGGCTGAAATAACAGTGCTCTTTTATTTTTCTACACAGTTGTCACACACGATAATTTTCTTTACCAAACACTGGTTTGTATTAGTTGTAGAATCAGTAAGTGAATTATATTTCCCTCCTTATAGCACAGAACACTTTTCAATCCAACCGATACTTTTGTTTTAGTTCTTTATTTTAGGACCTCTGATGCTGGAGAGTAACTTTGTTCATTCTTTTCGTTTCTGTATTAAATAGCGTCTGCAGGAACGTGTTTTAATCTGACATACAGTGGGGTGCGAAAGTTTGGGCAGCCTTGTTATTTTCCTGATTTACCTTTATAAATCATTGATTGTTTGGATTAAATATATCAGTAAAATATATCATATAGGCAAGGGCGTAACTTTAGGTCTAACATTGGGGGGGTTGTGGTCTCTGTCCATTTATTTATTGAATAAATTACTTTTGTAAAACGATTCAGGATATTTAGGGTTAAAATATATTGGGATGCTTTTACTGTGATTTACTTAACTTTCCTGTTTTCTCTGTATTTATTCTGCTCCTTTTC